GACATATGCACATGCAGTGGTTTAGCGATTCGATTCAAAATGGCCGACTGGCAGCCATCTTGTTTTTTGAAAATGTTGTATTTTGGACATGCTTTGTCAGTTGTCATTCAAACTTGGTACATAGATTATACATGTTAGGATACATGTCCATGATGGATCAAAGATGGTCGACTGGCAGGCATCTTGTTTTTGTTTTTTTATGCGGTATCTTGGACGTGCTCTGTCAGTTTTCATTCAAATTTGGCACATACATGTACTTTATACATGTTAGGATGCATATCCATGACAATTTGTTTCAAAATCTGGTCAAGGATGGCCGATAGACAGCCATCTGACTTTTTGGCCTTACTACTATATTTCCACAATTTATGTACCATTTTCATTCGTATTTGGCACATACATCATACATATCAGTGTGTTTCATAATCAGATCAAAGATGGCTGAATAACGGCTGTTTTTATTTTGGCCATATTACTATGACACGAAACACGTGTTTTGATGTAAATAAACAATCTGTTGTATACGCCACTTGGAACTCAAGTTTCAAGGACACGCTCGCGACAACCCCTCCGCTTTAATATGACGAGCACAAAGAGAACTTAATGGGGACTGTGTCATTTTCAATGACTTGTTTTTTATTATTCAAAATGGTCATCTGGTGGCCATTTTATTTTTTCACTATATTCCTACCCGGTACCTATTTCTCAGAATCTCAAATGGGAGAATGGCAATGTTTGAGCCATTTAACATTGATTAACATGGGAAAAAGTTCAGTGGTATCTGAAAATTCAGAGGCGTATAATGAATAGAATAGTATATTGTTATAAGATAGGTAATTCCAATTGTCACAAATTATTAGGAGATTCTGAGGAATAATATTTATTTCCTATGGAAATTTTTGGCATTTTGTAACATGATTTTCTCTAATAGTATGATTTGTATCGAGTAAAACACTCAAATGGTTATGGCATATATCCAAATCTATAATTAAGAAGCACTTTTTTGTGTTAAAAATATTACCTTTTTTAATTGGTAGAAATACCCGTGAATGACCTTTAGCTTTACTCTGTGACTACAGAGTCGATATTTACAAGAACTATATCATATAAAATGATTTGTGTGATCAGGAAAATTTCCCGTATTATTTCTTTTTTCTAAAATGATATGAAAAAGTTGCTCTTTATATGGTTTTATAGGTGAAAATTACAAAATCAGACCTTGGCCTTGAATTGGACGAGTTAGAACATGCTGCAACATTGGTAGAAGCCGAGGAAAACACAACTGAAGACATCGTGCAGGGTATGGAGAATATAACAATACATCAGTATGGATACCCTGGTGTTATGCACATGGAAAGCAGTAAGGAGAATTGCAATGTTGATCAGAGTGCAGTTGGTGCTAGTGATGGGGGACTGCTTGAGCACATAGCTCAAATGTCACTACTAGAACAGGACACTTGTTCTGATGACTCAGAAACAGATGACAGTGACACATCTTTATCAGAAGAATCAAGTAACTATAGCAACAGTGATGCAGAATGTAGTGTTGGACATTCAGATGGTGAGAAAACTGATCTGCAGTCAACAGTTTAAGAAATAAAAATAAAAGCAAACATCAGAACATGATATACTACGTCTTTATTGAATTCTCTAGTGTGTACAAATCAGCAAGGTTTGTGTAATTGCCAGAAACTTGAAGCGCCCACATTATCAACTCTTGCCCTATCATTTCCTAAAAATTAATATACAGTATATATATATATAAATATTTTTTTACATAAACCAGTTTGTTTTTAAAGCTATGCGTTTTCCACACAAAATGTTTTACATGTATTTGTATTCATACATGGCTGCAATGGACTACCACTACTAACTCTTAAACTACAAGGTTTACGGCCACTTGGGAATTATTTGAACAAGATGACTTGCAATTTTTCAAAACTGTTTTTGTCCAATCTAGACTTGACGGTGCTGTTACATTGACACATGCACACTTTAGATCATTCCATTAACCTACTAGATACGGGTGAAGTTGTTTCTCAAAACGAAAAAAAAAATATTAGAATATATGAACAGGTTACTTTGAAGTGTTTTAATATTTCTTGAATTAAATACGTAAACTAACTTTACAAATTATAATGTTGATCACCCTATGGTAAATTATATACAGCATGCCATCTGTCAAGCAGCGTCATCGCTGTGAGCCATCTTGGTAACGTGACAGAATAATTCACAGAATGGCTGTAAAACTGATATCCCAACATGCTTCCGAATTTATTTTTAATTTTTAGCGATGATTAGCAACAATAATTCTTGATTAATTAATTAAAATATACCAATAAAACATAACTCCTGATACACTGTAAATCAAAGCATTCATTGGAAGAGTTCGAAATCAGATAGATCTGTATTGTAGAGAAAGTTACAAGACTATGTGCCAGACAGTCATTCAAAAAGACTGTTTTTGATAAATGACTAAAAAACACAAGGTAAAATGCTTTCAGAAAATACAATGGAAAAAAAAAAGTACATGTAAACCCAAATCAAGTTTTTTTCCCCATTACATCAAATTTTTACAGGTAAGTGTGATCAATTATGTAAATGTTTCATGCAACAAAAATATTTTTTTTATTGACAAGTAAAAATTTGTCAGGCTTCGATTCAAAATCAAGTTCTGTATGTAATCAGACAGTGCCGCCACATCAACTGTTTTCATTAATTTGTTTATTTAAAGACAATGTCCAAAGAGCATGTGGGCACTGTTTTTTAAACCAAACCAAATACAAATTATTGCAACTAAAATGTCATTATATACAAGTAGGTCTCAATTTCAAAACAGTTCAGGCTTTCTAGTTTGATACAAAGAATGCAATATTTTTGCAATCTTCCCTGTGGAATTTGCTTTTCAAAACACGCCTCTGTCCACATTTGTTTCAAAATCTACCCCAGAGTTTCTAATGATTTTACAGCGAAATGACGCATAAATGGTCTTAAAATATAATCTTTCTATAAATTGATATATGCACTTAATTAATAGTAGAATGAGTAACCAGAGAACTATTTAGTTGTTGTGCAAATTTTGTCAAATTACCAGGCTTACTGCCCCCAAACTGTTCTGGAAGTGACTGCCTTTGTTTTACTGCGAGTTCACCCCGATACCTATCGGATTCATTTTCCCACAATTCAGTTTTTCTTATTTAACTCGCTGAGGATTCTAAGGATGTAGAGGAAAAGATTGATGATGTCCAAATAAAGGTTTATTGTGGCCACAATATACTCTTCAGGTGATAACTTGTGCATTAACATATGCGTATCATAAATAATAAATCCACAGAACAAAGCAGCACCACCGATGGCGATAATGAATTCCAATGAGTCGGTTTGAAAAAAGAATCTGAGAAAACCTGCCATAATCATGATCCACAACATGGAGAATAATCTGCAAGAGAAGAAAGAGAACAGAGTAAATATTGGCAACTGAATTAGGTCATGTGAAAGAAAAATTCCCTGTTATCCATAGAAGATTAATCTTCAGTGATAAAAATGACAACTATAAAGACCCTTTTAAAATTTACCAAATAACGACCACATTTTCCATACTACCAGTAAGAGTTAATCTTGCATGTTACCCAAATAATTGTTCTAATGGGAATTTAACCTTTTAAGGTAGCGAGAAGGGTTTTGTGACGTTTTTAAATAAAACATTCTCTGTCTGTTGTCTCGTTCAGAACAGTAATTTAGGTTATATATATCAAAAGACTAAGTACAGAGGTACAAGTTCGCACAAACTGGACAGTCATTGTTTACATAATTATCACGTGACATCAAAAATGGCGAACCTTGTAAAAATGACTAAGTCCGCGATTGCGAGAGCACACTGCGGAATTTCCTGGTGAAATTTACGTCATGCATTGTCCGTACTCAAGTCCATTGAAATGCGTCTCCGATAATCAAAAGAGCTATTAATCCGATTTCTATGCAGGTTTTTGTCCTTAAATTATTTCATACTTGGCACCTTTAACAGACTATTATTCTGTGACAAAGCATTTTCTTTAAAAACCCAGACATATTTCGCACCATCATTATCTTTTGAAAGATAACTGCGAGTTTGAATGTCCTAGTCTGAACGCACTTGATTTGGCGGTGGTCCCAATGAGTCGTACTCGATCAAAACTTCAATTCGAGAAAAACGCGAAAAACAGTTTTGGTTAATAAAACACTGTAGATTTGCTGCATTATTATAAATATACACTAAAAATGGCCAAACATATTAACCACTGATATAGAACTCATAAAGAGTGTCAGATAATGAATAATTTCAAGCTCGAGCATGAAAAATGAAGAAAACTGCTGGCATTTGAGTCCGTACTCCAGGAACGTTCGGGTTTTCCATTGTTATGCAAACGAACAATTTAGAATAATCCTCTGACAAACATTACTGTCCCACTGTACACGCTGACAGTTTACAAACAAGCTAATCCTTCAAGTGTCTCTGATAAGACATCTAACAAGCAGCCTCTCGGCTGAGATAGCTCCGCTGTTAGCAATGCACATTTCAATTGAAGAACAGAAGATATCATTAGAAAATGAACAATATGCATAGTATCAATGCAATGGGACTTGCTGTTTTCAACAAGAATTCAAAAATATAATTTTTAACCATAAATGATTGTGGTTTTTAACAAGAAGAAAATATCACTTTTTACCAAAAATGACATAAATATTCATCAAAATTAGAGAATTGAAGATATCATCATGAAATGAACAAATTTGAGAGTGGTCCACATGTAGTACCTATATATGTAGTATCAAAGCAATTGGACTTGTGGTTTTTAACAAGAAGTCGAAAATATCACTTTTTACCAAAAATGACAAAAATATTCCGGAAAATTAGAGAATTAAAGATATCATCACGAAATGAACAAACCTGAGAGAGGACCACATGTAGTACCTAGATATGTAGTATCAAAGCAATTGGACATGCAGTTTTTAAGAAGAAGTCAAAAATATCACTTTTTACCAAAAATGACAAAAATATTCACCAAAATTAGAGAATTAAAGATATCATTACAAAATGAACAAATCTGAGAGAGGTCCACATGTAGTACCTATATATGTAATATCAAAGCAATTGGACTTGCGGCTTTTAACAAGAAGTCGAAAATATCACTTTTTACCAAAAATGACAAAAATATTCCGGAAAATTAGAGAATTAAAGATATCATCACGAAATGAACAAATCTGAGAGAGGTCTATCCAAGGTACATATTCACCAAGTATCAAAGCATTCAGGCTTGTAGTTTTCAAGAAGAAGTCGAAAAAGTAAAACATTGACACGGACACCGGACGCCGCCGGACAATCACTCATATGATAAGCTCTGCTCGACAAAGTCGACAGCGGAGCTAATAAAACGGTTTTCATGGTGAAACAAAATAGCCGATGTTTGAAAAAAAATTGCTGTGTCAGAGTGCGACACTGAGTGGCAGATTTTTCTTTGCCTCGTCTGTCAACGCTTTCTTTCTTTTCTTCGCCATTGCGTTAGAAAAAAAATGTATTAGTAAAATAGAATATTGACTTGGAAAATAAAACGATTTAAAAGAAAATTGTGCAAAGTTACAGTACTCCTTTCGCACAACCTCCCGCCCGCTTCCGCTTTCCAATCACCCTTTTCTCTCGCTTTTGCGACCGCTTGTTGAATTCGACCGGACAATTTCCGCTTTATTTTCGACCGCGCAAACCCTGAAATATAACCTGCTCGCTCGCGCGCATTCAAAATTTCCGAGGTTCACATTGTCTTATAATTGTCTTTCTGTTTTTTATAGATGTTGAACAGCTGACAAAAGTTCAAATACTTTTTGTTTTAACTATCTATAATTATATGCACGCAACCTGACCCTTTGACCTCGATTTGGCTTGGACTGAATATTTTATTTTAAACAATATTCTGACGTGAAATACAAAATGTATTTCAACACAAGTACGACATGGTTGTCTGGGGTTTCTTTCCTGATTGTTGAGTCTTCGCAATGTGTTTTGTATAATTATTGTTGTTTTCCCCCGATGCTGAAGGACCGTAAAGCTAAATGGCAGTTACATGCATGGGCTGAGTGAAAGAAAATATTTCTAAGCCTAAAATAAAACCTAATATTACACCTCTTTGTGTATTTGTTAATTTTACATATGTTTGTCATGACAGTATGTTTGTAAATATCTAGAAAAAT